AATAAAACTTCATTTTAAAGCGACTGCTCTTTCACATGAGCATAATATCACCTCCTCTTTGGGAAATTTGGAAATGACTGCTTATGCCTGGAAGGCTAGAGAAAAAGGTTTTGGATGCTAATCTTATGCTCTAGTGTTTGAAGAAAAGTTGGAATTAGAAAATATCAGCATTAGATACAGGTTTCCCTGAATGAGGGTGAGCTAAATCATGATTAAGCATTACTCAGACAATAAAAATGTTAACAATATAGAAGTTTAACATTCTAATGTTTCAGAACAGGTAAGAGAACAAAGGATGATGGCTAAAACGGGACTAATAACAACAATTATGTAAAACTTCTTGGGATTCCAAAAATTTATTTTTTCATACTGAGAGGCCAATTAAAAGTTCCCTTTATCCTCCTGGATAAAAATATGTACTATTATCCCAAATTACATGTGCTCAAGCAGAACTTTGAAAAAAACATTACAAGCAGCTTTGTCCTTTTTTCCTGTGATAATATTGAATCCCACTCTACTTCTATCACTGTTACATTTCTAAACTGTACCTACAAATTTCTTTAGCTTAGTTTCTGTTTTTACTTAAGGGTCTGGAGTACAGTTTGCTGTCTTTGACTTAATTGACAGTCTCTGGACTCTGCAAATGAAACATCTATGCACACTGTATGCATCAAAATGGTGATATATGGCCATCAACCAGCCTATATAGGTATTCTCTCTGTTTAATGAGCATTGTCTTGCATATATGTAACTATGTAGTGCTTGGAGAACTTTAACAATTGCCACAAAGTCACTGAGTTTATCCAAATGAGACATCTCAGTGACTCAAAGACTGTATAGAGAGAAATAACTGTGTCTGAATGTAGTTCATACTGAATTACATAAATTTATTCAAATATATTGGAGCAGTTTACAACGCAACTCCTTATTAAAAAAGTACATTTCATATTTTTCTCTTTTTAATTACATGCCACCAATCCAGATCAATACAGTAATATTTACAAAGCATATCATCAGTGAGCTTTAAATGTATTCTGCGTTGACTGTTAGCAAAAACAAATATGAGATGTTTAGTTTAAGTCTTTTCTTCAGTTTAAACAATAGACACATTTTTAGATTTAAGTTTTATTATTTAGTCATTAAAAAATAAGTTTTAAAAGAGATCTTCTAATATTTGTTTTTATTTTCTGCAAGAAAAATCCATTGTTAGATAAAGAAAATAATATGCTTTCTTAATTAATTTTATTCCATATATTAATTGTATCTAAAAAAGAACATTAGTTCTTAGAATATGTAACTCATAACCTTAAGCTTTACCAAAATTATTATATTTGCAAATCAAAAGACATGATGACCACATTTTTCAAACTTGTTCAGTATCTTCCGTTTTGGGAATCTTTATGTATGTTAAAACATCATAAAAAGATAAATCCCTCCAAATGGCCTTTCATGGACACTAAACAATCTGGTTAAACAATGTATATAACCTAGATATATGAGAGGAAAAGCAATTAATGAAATCTAACCGATTCAGCAGGAAGAGGGGTTTAATATCCATAATATGAAGATTGCATGCAAACCACTGATTCAAAAGCACCACATTGCACACAATCTTCCCCAGAAGGTGCCTTTTTCGTAAGTCCTAATTTTGAAGAACAAAATGTGTGCCCCAGCTGCCAGAAGACTTCACAGAAATTCTAAGATAAAGAAGGATTTGTTTTAATAAAGCTGTAGCAAGAAACAGGAGACCAACGCAATGGATGAGGTCCTACTCGGGGAATAAACAACCCAAGATAATGATGTTGAGCAGTATATCTGCACATTCTTACTAGACTCTGCATAACATTTTTGTGAACCACTATTAAAAAGATGGAAAATAATCCCATTAGTAGTTATAGGGGTTATCATTACCACTGAATATTCAGTGTGTAAAATCTTTTCATAGATAAAATTTGGCAATACAAAGTCATCTAACAGCTATACTGTTGAACTCTATATTTATCACTTGTCTCCATTTTCCATGACATCAAACATTTTGTTGGTAGATCTCTGAATATTGATTCATCAAATCCATCAACACACTTTAGCCAAATATGGACGCAAAATATGGCAGAAACATTTTAATCTAGAAAATGTATCAAAAAAGGCTGAAAATGACATTCTTATTTTGTTATATATATATATATATATATATATATATATATATATATATATATATATATATATATATATATATATATATATATATATATATATATATATATATATATATATATATATATATATATATATATATTATTGGGAGATTACGAGCAGTTTGGATGTGTGTGTCCTTCTCCAAACTGCCATGACAGCAACACGCACAGAGCTATAGAGATCCAGCTTAGATCCTGCCATTACAGTTATACTGAGCCTAATATTTCCTGTGTTTTGCTTTCTTTTATTTGTTTTGTTTTTGTTGAGTAGTGTAAAGCTTTAGTGTTGAAAGACATGTATTTTGGACATTTATAAAATTACACAGCAGTATACGTGATTCATTAAACTGGTATATTTGAACCAATACCCTACTGATTGTGGTTAGAATGCAAGGTAGTGCCTGTGTACGGCAGTTACACCATTGTCATTGAGTCCAAGGGCAACTCTGGCTACAATGTAGCTGCCACCATTGGTGTGTAACTGGATGAATGACTTAAGTATAATGCAAAGCACTTTGGGGTTCAGGTGGGCACAACAGACCACTTCTCAGTACCCACGATTGCACATCACTGTGCGCTGTGGCAAGAAGGCTTGTTGTGTCAGTCAGCGTATTGTCCAAAGGCTGGAGGCACTACCAGAAAACAGGCAAGTAACACCAGGGCAACAACCCAGCAGCAGAGCCACTACCTCCGTTTTTGTGCAAGGAGGAACAGTAAGAGCACTGCCAAGGCCCTGCAAAATGACCTCCAGCAGGACACAAACATGCATGTGTTGTAAAAAACGGTTAGAAACCGAATCCATGAGGATGGTATGGGGACCCAAAGTCCAGAGATAGAGGTTGTGCACACCAACACTGTGCAGTGCTTGGCATTTGCCAGAGAAAATCAAAATAGGCAAATTCCCCACTTGCGCCTTATGCTCTTACCAGATGAAAGTAGGTTCACACTGAGCACATATGACTGACATGACAGAGTCTTGAGACACCATGCAGAGTGATCTGCTGCCTGCAACATCCTACAGCATGACCGGTTTGGCATTGGGTCAGTAATGGTGTGGGGTGGTATTTCTTCGGAGGGGCACACAGCCCTCCATGTGCTCACCAGAGGTAACATGACTGTTACTAGTTACCGAGATGAGATCCTCAGACCCCTAATGAGACCATATGCTGGTGCTGTTGGCCTGGGTTCCTCCTAATGCAAGACAATGCAAGACCTCATGTGGCTGGAGTGTGTCAGTAGTTCCTGCACATTGAAGTTACTAATAATATGGACAGGCCCGCCACTCTCCATACCTGAATCTGATTGAGCACATATGGGACATTATGTCTCCATCCATCCATCAACGGCATGTTGCACAACAGACTGTCCAGGAGTTGGAGGATGCTTTGATCCAGGTCTGGGAGCGGATGCCTTAGGAGACCATCCACCACCTGATCAAGAGCATGCCCAAGCAATGTGGGGAGATCATACAGGCCACACACCCTACTGAGCCTAATTTTCAGCTGTTCTAAGAACATTACATCAAAGTTGGATCAGCCTGTTGTGTGTATTTCCACTTTTGTTTTGCGTGTGATTCCAAATCCAGGCTTCCATTGGTTAATAAAGTTGGTTTCCATTTATGTTTTTTGTGTAATTTTGTTGTCAGCACATTCACTTTGTACAGAACAAAGTATTCAACTAAAATGTTTCATTAATTCAGATCTAGGATGTCTTATTTGAGTGTTTATTTTTTGAGCAGTGTATTTTCCTTGCTGATCCAGTTTTTGCTCGAGCTTAAAGCACGTGTTTAGTCACATGGACATGACTTCCTCCAGGGAGACCAGGAGAAAGAGGAGGAGAGTTTCTTGTGGGGAAAAAGAACAGTTGAGGCAGAACCTAAAGTTCAAATTAAACTGTTCTCCACAGTTATGGCTCAGAGTTGTGTAGGATCATTGATAGTTCATTTAAAGCATAACTTTGAAATATGCATATATCCTGCTGTTACCTCTCGGCGCAGGGATGATGTGGGGATTTGCTCTAGTCAAGAGGAGCAAAAATATTTTTAAAGAGAAAATGTTACTGACTTAATCTTTACTTTACAGCACTGGATTATGAGTTTTTTCTCTTACATTTTTGTCCTAGTATTACGGTTTCTTACACCAAGTTGAATATAACAAGAAAAGCAATGACTAAATAATTTAATCGGTTGCTTTTCTAATGTCAGCTGGGTCCAATTTAACACTGGAGGTTTGTTTTGGCTCTGTTACCACCCTATGCAGTCTAAACACATGCATTTGTTGCATGCAGAGTAGATCGTCTTTGGAGTTATGAACCATTTAACAATCAAAATGCTGCTTTTGCAATTAAATCACCAGCCAATTCTTTTATTTACTGCCCATTGTTACACTGGTCCTCTATAATTGATTTTTTGTTTGAACTCAGAATTTTATTACTCTTTGAAATATGAGCACTAAGACCTCTTCATCAACCATTGTGCGATGATTAAAACTCACAGAAACAATAGTTAATAATAAAACAACAGATGAGGTTTGAATGTCATGCAGTGTAAGTCTCCTGAAAAGGTAGCTGTCGGATTTGACATTTCCTTTATGAAACATCAGAGAAGGAGAATAATGTATACCATTGTTTAAAGGAAGAAGATGTCGTTACACTTGACTGCAGTGATGTAAACACAAATTTAGTTGAATAGTAATGAGCAATGAGATAATGATGTTTAATGAAACATTTGTTCCTCTAGCTGAGGCTTCTTTTGTCTCCCATCCAAAGTTATACTTAAGAAAAGTGGTATCCTTAAATGTCTCTTACCTTACGTCTACTGCATCCTCCATTACTGTCATATCTGTCTTGCATTTGGCTGACGGGTTGATGGCGAGCTCAGCAGGAGGGATGACAAAGCTTTTGCTCAGAGGAAGCCACATTCCTTCTCCCAGAGTGTATGTAAATCTGCAAGAAGAAAAGAGCAGTCACTGGAGTGGATTTTTCAAAAGTGGGTAGAATGACAACAAGGTGAAGTAAAAAGGAAGGTTACTTACTCATGTTAGAGGCAACATGAGTTTATATAGTTTGTTTGAAGCCACTATTGTCTTGTGAAATCTTTAACTCAGACAAAAAATATTGGGATCCTTTTTAAACACCGACAACTCAAAATATCACAAAGACTGCAGAGAATACTGATGAAGAATAGGACAGATCTATGCTGACAGAAATGCATTTAGGGTGCGATGTAAGGCATTGGATAATATATAAAAAGATAAAAGAAAAACATAAGAGAAAACACAAGAAAAACTTAATGGATTATGTTCTTACTAAAAAAAAAAAAAAAATATATATATATATATATATATATATATATATATATATATATATATATATATATATATATATATATATATATATATATATATATATATATATATCATAAAGCACCTAAACCCCTCAACATTGAGAAATGTCTATAGTCCTTTAAGGTAATACTTAAAATTAGAGAAGTCAGTTTATTAACTTACAAAATTTATGATTTGTCATTATAAAAAGACTTAGAAAACTGAAAAATTTTAAGCAGTAAAATGGCCACTGACAGTTTCCCCTGGGACAACAAACAATAATAAATCTATAACTGAACAAATGCTTTAAAGCATTTTATTTGTCTGACAATGGATAGCATTAATCTTTAAATTCACTGGGAATTAAATGCAATACTCCACATAATTAACAATAGTTTGAACAAACATTTTCATGTAGACTAACCACATCCATATTTCTAGCTGGTCATGTTACATGTACAGGTAATAAAATATAAGGTTAAAATATGAAAAAAGGAGTGAAATCGGATTTTGTGCAACACTTACTGCAGGATCTTGGTTTAAAGTTTTTTAAATGGAATTTTAAGCCATTTTTCATTCTAAATAAGATTTAATGGCAGGAGTTTGTTATTTCTGTACTATTAAATTGAGAGCATTTGCTGCATCCCATTTGACCTGCTCCTACGGGGCTTTGTTCTGTAGTGCTGAGATTCCCTGTGATGCAGAATGACGTAAAAGGGTGACCACAGGATAAGTTAGTTCGCACTTAACGAGCCCTGTTTTATAATGTACAACCTGGGACTTATGAGTTGCTATACAACTTATTTTTTTCCCTCTAACAGGAACTGGAGCTGAAAAAACAGTAAGAGTTCTCATGAGAAAACGGTTGTTGGGAGGAAAACAGGTTTGGAATCCTTAGAGGCAATCCATGTAGTTATTAGTGAGTGGAGGGCAAGTGTTGTGTGTTTGAATGCTTACTCTCAGCATTTATCCTCACTGTTTGTTCTGCTTAATTTTACACCCAGTAATAATAATCTCGTTTAATGATAATATCTGCTTAATCAAACAAAATTATGGATGCATAACTCATCAAAAGTGGGATTCAGGTAAAGGTAGAGTGCTGGATTGTTTGATAAATAGGCTAGAATAATATTGTTTAATCAGGAAGAACAGCTAGTTGAGAACACGCTAAGGACAACATTTTAAAACCTTTGGCTTTCTATAAAGGGCCTACTCTGGAGGATATACCAACAGGGAAGGATTATTTTTATTAGGCTTTAGGCCTTCCTCTTCCATCTTCAACAGTAGGAGTGGTCTTAATGAGCAGGAAGAGGTAGCCCTCTCCTCATCTACAAGCAGTGTGAAAAAGAAAGAAGAGGGTGCTGTTGTGTTTATTCCTTTTCTGACATAAATGAATTATGCGTTAAATACAGTAGCATAGTTACTGCGAAGCTACACTTTTCCAAGACAGCAAAACTAAAGATCTATTTAAAATAAACATTATAAGTGCAAAAAATAATAAACAATAGCTGTTTTTTCCCCCAAAGTTTGTAATTCCTCCTATCTTTTTGATATTTTTTGGTATTTTCTCCAGATTGGTGACCTGTCCAGTGTGTACAGTCTCTCTTGTCCAGTAATCACTGGGCAATAGGTGATTTTTAGTAAATGGCCTACTACAAAGGCTATAGTTGTTGCAAAGCAACAAGCATGTTCAGATTCAGTTTATTTGCTATTTTCAGCATGGAAAACCACATGGGAAAAGCGATGAAAGATGTTGTGACATGCCCAAAAAAAAGAACAATAGCTACCCAATCAAATACAACAAGAGGGCCACATAAAAATAAAATTAAAAACAAGTAGTAAAACCCTAACAAATCTAAGAGCCAAAAGGAGCATGTTGCAGTCATAATTGAAAATTTGTGCTTCAAGTCCCCAAAGCTTGAAGAAAAAAAGCTGTAATTATGGTGCAATATCCCTTAGTTAATTATGCAATGGCTCCTCTCAGGAGGCAAAAGGTTGAATCGGTCTTCCAGAAGGATAAAAATAGTCCTTAAAGATAGCTAAAGTCTGGTAGCAAAATCTTAGTCGATGATGTCCAACAGGAAGGACAAAACCTAACCAATAATCTGACGGGCAACGGTGACAGCCAACATGCTCTGATGTGGTGTTACTATAATAAATAGGTCATATGGGAAAAATACCCCAAATATGTGGTTACCCCTGTTACATAATGGGCAAAACTGGTATGATGGCGACTTGTTTTTTGGTTTATCACGAAAGATCAGAATTATTAAAAAAAAAGAAACTTCCTTTAGTAAATAATCAGTATGGTCCAACTATCTTTTTCTAATACATTGTGGCAGCATAGGTTACTTTACCTTAAAGGTATTGTGGAGGATTTTTGCAATTTTTTTAAAAAGACCTGTCCTCTCCACTTAAAAAAAAAGCACATGCACAACCCTGTACCTTCTCCTGAGAGAGACAACACCTATTAAACGTGTGCGAGAACGTGCACAACCCCATTTCTCCTCATACATGCTCTGTTTATAAGTTGCTGTTCTCATAGCTCATAGAAGTTTAGTGTGTCCCAACGTCCACCCTAATCCCTAATTATTTATTCTTTAGAGCCCATTTTGAAAAGTATACAAAGGCATTTTGAGTAAATTTTGACAGTCAAACCTTATTGAATGTTCCAAACACAATTTGTCTTTTTTTTTTTATCTGCAAAGTTTAGTAAGAACTTACTTGAAAACAATCTAAAATGTCCCTTCAAATTCTTTCTAGATATAAACAACAGAACATGATCAGATTTAAAAGGTGAAATTTAAAATGGTCAAAATATGTTTTTTTGTGATTGAAAAATAACAAAACAATCAGGGAGAGGAAAAAGAAAAGTTTTAAGAAGTAAATCCTTTACTTTGGTTTCCCATTCTAATTAGATTTGGTTATTCCTATTCACAGTGCATTCATTTGCTGGCTCTTAATCACCTTAAGTCACAAATAGAATAGCAGTCATAGATGTGTTCCAGAACAAATTATCGGATGGCATCAGAGTCGAATGTATGAAGTTGCCAGATAGAAGTAAGTTTTATGAAGTTCTTCCTACCTGAAAATGCGATCAGAGGGTTGTTCTCCCATCACAAGATCAAAACCCCGCTGGAAGATGGTGTAAGGCCAGGGACTTGAAGGAGGAAAAAATAGATCAGAGAAAAAGACAACAAAGACAGGAGAGGGTAAAACTGATTATTAGAATCAAAGCTGGAGAAGTAGTGAATTTTTTAGAATACCCGTCCTCCTAATCCAAACTTTTCAAATTCTCAAGCCAAGTTTCAACATCTACCTTGGCAACATCCCTGTCTTCCAAAGTTTCCCAGTTCACAAGCTTTACACTGTGCTAGGCGTAAATAAATAAGCAGGCTGAAACTGTATTTTGGAGCACCTGACATAAAATGTGACTTTGGCTCATATCTATTTACCACGGGAGTGGATAAAGTATGATGACAGCATGAAGCAGAACAAGGAAGTTGCACAGAAAAGGAGGGAGATATAGATGTAGATGGAAGGAGCTAAAGCTGGGGGAAAAAAAAGGACAAGCAGTGAGAGTGAGAAAAACATTGCGAGAATGAGACAGATGCCAAGAGGCAGAAGTGAGAGAGGGAGAATGATAGAGATTAATGGGGAGTGGCAGCTTTGGGACTAAACAGTCTGCAAAGTGAAAGCACAAGAAAGGGAAGTGACAGAGGCCTGATGCCGTTCGGAGTAAACTCCTTCACCACTGTAAGCAAAAGGAACATCAGTAAGAACGGGAAGCAGCTCCAATGCCATGGGCTACAATCATTAAACATTTAAGTCACCAATGGGTGCCCACTCTGTTAAATAGTGACAGGGACATAGGAATAAGACCAGGGGAATGAGAAGCAGAAATGCACAGTTGGGTGAGCTAAGGGAAATGTTCCCAAAAAAAAACAAACCATGGCGTGAATATAGTCAGAAAATAAAGGAAAATGCCCAGCCTGCCTGCTGGAGGCCATTGCTTTGTAGGTAATCAGCTCTAGCTATTCTTTCCATTGCCACATTTGTTCTTGCTAAGTGGTTTTAAGTGACTCTAGAATGCAATGGGAATCCACAATACAAAAAAAGAAAGCAAGCCAAATGGGATATTTAGTTAGTCTATTAAATTTCTTAAAAGCTGTCCTGTGGAGTTTACAGCTGCATGTGATTTTATTTTACAAGTCATTGTAGGTCCCTGCAGGTTTTCGGAAAACGGTTCAGAAAAGTACAGTGTATTGAATTTTGTCTTTCTACTCATATATAATGTTTCAACAAATGGTAAATAAAAAATAAAAACTTTTAAATTGTGTTACGTTTCGATTTGCAAAAAAAAAAAAAAAAAATCCTTTTATATCATCAGCCTTGTTTGGGATGTTTCCTGGATGTATACTGTAGGTGTAAAAAGGTTTGAAGAGTCTTTTAGGCATCTGAGTCCTGAAACAAGGTAGTGACAAAGTAATTAATTTGTTATTTTATTGTCTCTAATGTTGCTATGTGTGTCTAAAAGTTCAAATCGAGCCAGTTATTGCGATCAAATTTACTAAACATGAAGGATATGATCACTGGTACTGTATACTAGAGCCTGACACGGGAGAGGATTTTCACTCCTGTCCCGTCCCACTCCCACAGAAAAAAATTGTGTCCCGTCCCAGAGTAGAAATCTAAATCCTGTCTTGTCCCACTCCTGGTGAAATTACTCCCACTCCCATCCCGCTCCCATTCAGAATGACTCCCGCTCCTGCACCACTCCCATTCTTGTTGTCTTCAATAAGATTTCTGCCAATAAATTGAATCTGAATTTCTTTTGAGCGCGGGTGAAAAACTCAGAGCGCAAGCACTGTTGGTTTTTGGGTCGTGTAGTTTTTTTGACTCGCATTATAGTGTAGGCTTCAAGGAAAAAAACGACAAAATGGCGGCAAAAATTTTTTTCTTTCCAATTTATTTTATTTTTTGGTATCAATCCTAGTTTTTTTTAGTTACTATTGGTTTGCTCCCGCTCCTGTCTGCTCCTGTTAATGTTTAATCCTGTACCATCCCAATCACGTGATTGTTACTAATACTGACTCCCATCCCACGGGAATCCACGGGAATCCCGTGACCCGTGGGATTCCCGAAAAAATGTCAGTCTCTACTGTATACCCCATCAAGTGCAAGAGAGATTCTCGGATAAAGTAAGTGTCTCTAATCAGAAACTTTTAAGACCAGCTTTGGCAGCATATTGGTACTGAAATTAAAGCTTTCTACAGGATAAGGATGGAGTATGTTATATCTGTTGCAATATGACCTTATTGTTGTTTTTTTGTTTTTTTTTTTAAATGTAAGAATTTGGAGATAATTGTTACATTTAAAATATGGCAGGCATGTTATAAACTAAATCTGTGAGGATCTCAAATAGTTAAATTATTAACAGGCAAATGTATCGAATTGTAGATAGGTATCTTAGAGGACGCTGTTCCAAGTATGTAGGATCCTGATTAGAAAAACTCAAAATAATTGTAAAGAGAGGGTCTTCAATTGTGGAATATATGGTCAAAAATATAAATTCTAATACTTCTTAGTAGGTCTCCATTATAGATCTTAGTTGGTTTTGCAGTAGAATCTATAAAAATTAGTAAAAAAATATAAAACTGATTTTAATCAGACTTTTATGTCCCTAATTAAGATAAACAAATATGTAAAATACAGGCAATCACATCTAGAGCCTATTTCTCGGCCCATTTCCTACCATTATCCGCCTCATTTTCAAATCTTGTCTGTGACCATGTCATGTAGAAGAGAGTGATACTTAATTGGTATTAACCTAAGGAAGGGCACAGGATAAAATAGAAATACCCTTTATTGTCCCTCAGTGGGAAACTTAAGGTGTAACAGAAACAAGGTGAAAGGCAAATGGAAGGATGAAGGTTCACACAAAGATAAAATTATAGAAACAGAAATTAAAAACAAGAGACTTTACAGTTAGGGAAAATTTAAAACACAAAAAGATACATAACAACTATCAAAAGAACACACTAGATTCAAATGAATCTGCAACTGAAGAGGATCATTACAAAAAATATATAAATGTGCATGTATGTTTATGCATAAAGAAACTATACAGAAAAAAAATGAAAAACTGTGCAAACTACAGCAGGATGTAAGCACTTAATGCGTCTGAAAGCAGGACTGGGTAGAAGTTTAACAGCTAACAAAAATGGTCTATGACAATGTTTGCCTTGTTTTGTTGTTTTTTATCAAATGAGCTCTTTTAATGATTGGCTCAGAGAGGCATTGTCCTAAACTGATGTTATTTTGGCCAGAATTCTTCTGTCTAACCCTTCCTGCAGTGGGTCGAAGGTGCATCCTATGACAGAGATGGCCTTCATGATTAGCTTTCGTGACAACATCCTCTAAGCTTTAGATAAGCTGCTGTTCGAAAGATACTACGCCATAAAAAAACGTTGATTCCACCACAGAGCCAAAAATTTTTTCAGGAGTTCTCCTATACTCTAAAAGAGCTCTGTTACAGTTGGACCCTTGCTATATAGAGTATCAGTCGTGTGACTCCAGCAAAACAGTTAATCTGGACAGGAACCTCAGAAGCCTGGAGCTGATGCCATCCACATATCTATCCTTTTATGTGTCCATGTCAGTGTTGTCCACACACAAAGTAAGTAGTTCATGATACAGTCAGTGATGCTTTCTATGTCCTCCCCGTGAAGAGCAGAGAACTCTTCCCACAGAGTAGAGCTAAAAAAAAAGAGTCCATTAGAGTTTCTCTATATATCTTAACTTTGCAACTCACAGCTGGTCTGCTGACTACAGGGGATAATACACAGACTGGAGATGGTTGTAATGTGAGCCCCCCCACAGGAGAGAGAGATGAGCTATAGGTTTTTGGTGTTGCAATACAATAAGTTCAGGTTTCGTGTTGTCTCTGCTGTGGCAGGTAACATACAGTAATAGGTGTAGATGGGAAGAGTGGGGAACAGGAACACATGATTAAAATCCCTGTAGGTCAGAAAAAGGAGATGGGGATGATACATTTGGGGTCTGCTGGGAAGAGTGTTGATAAAATTGCAGACTGCTACAGGATTAACAGATGGGGTAAAATACACTATAATTGCGATAACATGTTTAAACTCCCACAGTACATAATAGGCTTCAGGGCTAACAGGTAGTACATGAACTTCCTTACTGCAGAGCATCTCTTTGAAAGGAAAAAAACTCAGAGTTTGATCTTCTACCATTTAAAAACAGAGCCAAATTCCATCCACTCATCTTACCTCTCTCTCCTTGTTTCTCTTGGCCTGGATTAAATAAAAACTGTAGACTGGGCAATTAAATGCACCTGCAGTGTCTTTTCAATTTTAAATAGAAGATTTAAATCTCAGAGGCACTCAGTTATAATCATATTATATTTCGCACACCAGCCCTTTAGGTGGCAGTAATACAGTTAAAGTGAGTTTTCTGTTACATAAAAGGGAAGAGAGGGTTGCAGCTAGCCCTGATCCCTGAATGCGAGTAGAAATAAGGACTTTTCTAAATAACGATTACAGTAAAGTCCTGTGACACGGCTAAGCTAGGGGCAACTAAAACCTGAACTCCTGAGCTCATGCAGTCTCCTACCACAAGTGAGGTAAAAAAGAAAATTAAAATAAAAAAAAAAAATGGACAACAAAGAGGAACACATCTTAGGTTTAAGTATTAAAGGAAAAAAAGCTCACGATGAGTAGAAGCTGTTAAAATTGCAGTCATGCAGCACTAGAATAGTAAGGGCATGAAGATTTATGCAAAAGCTCTGAAATTCTATTTTCTTTTGAGCATCTTTAAAAAGTGATCCACAACAAAGAAAATGGGGAAATATCAATAAAGTCTTCAGTTTGTGAACATTAAGGTTTTTCATTCAGCTAAAGCGGCAATTAATAAAGAAATGTAGACAGAACCAGATATAATATCAGTACTTTTCAACAGTGATATGGTGCAGCTCCTCACTGCTTCATTCAATTACTTACCTAAAAAGAGGTCAAACTGAACATAATTATCATATACGCTGAGACACAGAGACAAAAGTTCAAATTCCCTCCCATAGCCTCCAACCTCATGGGAATCTTTAAAATCAAGGCACATATCTGACTAGGATTTTCTACCATTTTACAAGCAGAATCATAATAGTCTTTATTTAAAGATATCTTTTAGTTTAAAGATATGTTTTACAAATAATTTTATGTGCATTTAGTTGTGAGCTTGCATTCTCAGTTATAATGTAAAACTGTGGCATTGATAACTGTATAAACCCCTGATGAATATACTTCCGCTGCCCTCTCCTAGCCTAATAAACTACCCCCACCTGCCAGCAGCCAAATTATTTTTGCCTGCGAGTGGTCTAGCCTCAAACAATGACCCAGGCCCTAGAACTGGCGGGCCAATCATAACGCAGAGATGTGTTTTGAATTTCTGGATGCAAAGCAGACGGGGTTTTGAGGGCATGACGACAAAGCTGCGCAACGCTGGAGAAAGCACAACATGGAAGATGGCAACAACTATTGAACAGTTCTCGTTTGACGCAGCTTTGGAATCAGTTTTTTAAGACTAGACCTTGGGTTTTTGTTGAAACGTGAGCAGGAAGAGGCTCTACGCTCATTCATTTTTAAGAAGGACATATTTGCCGTTTTACCGACAGGCTGTTTGTTTACACTCCCCCACCAGCTTCTTGCGCTTACTATGTTACAATCAGTTGCACTCATTGGACAGAGCGTTGGCCAATAGGCACTGACATGGTTAGAAAAACAACGGGTTGTTCTCATCAACAATCTTCCGATGACTCACTCATCGGGGCCAGACTAAATTACACATTTGATCTCACATTTAGTCCGGTTTATCAGGCTAGCCCTCTCCTAATATTACATGCCAATTGTAACGTCAAACTACCTTTTATTTAATGAGGAGGAGGACTCCATTGTTGCCCCAAATTATCCCCCTAACACTGAAAGAACAATCACAAATCATCATGAATCAATTATCATAACTTACCCCTGGTTAGGCCCCCACTCACTGCGGATGCAAAGATGTTTGTGGACTGGATCCTTCATGTAGCCATCAAGACAAATGCATTCTCCTGAAAACACAAAGACTGTTCTTCAAACAACTTTTTTTTTTTACTCACACACAAAAATTCCACTGCATCTTTTTTGTCTCAACCAAAAGACGAGCCTCTTCAGGCAATAAGAGCACCCATGATCCTCACTTTTTTTAATGAGGTAGTCAACATCATCCATAAAAATTCTCACAGTTTACCCAAATTAGTATGTGTGACAAAATCTTTCTGTAAAATGCAGTTGCTCTCAAAGTGTTCTCAAAAGTGCTTCCAAAAATGACCAGTAGCATAAGCATGAGCGTGCAATTTAACAAAAAATTAAATTTCAGAAGGTAACCCCACTTAGAGATAGCTTAATGTTTCCTCCTACTCTTGTAAACAATAATACAGAGCTCTCAGCACACCACTTGAAGCCCAATAGCTGGCAATACTGAATAACAAGCAGGGAAGGTATATTTAAGCTAGGGTACAACAACACTAAGCCAAAATAACAGAAAAGCAAACGATGGACAAAAGAAACACTCTAACATCACCACTGAAGCTATAAGATCAGAAATAAGGTGCTTCAATGCAGCCCATATAGCTAGAACAATATCTTAATCAGGAAAAGGCTGAAAAGCTCTCTATTGGCGACTACAGCTGTGTGCAAAGTGTTTATGCACACTTATGTGATGCGACACATCTCATTTGATAGTTCTAAATGTATTGCATCTCCTGAGGGGCAACAGTCCAGCTTTGGATTTAATCCAGATGAATGTAGAGGCAGGTAAAAAGAATCTGAAAATTTGTAGCATATCCCATCGTGCCCATTAAAAGAAACAGGGTTAAGCTTCATCTCCAAAATGTATTCTAATTATAATGTGTTGAATTATTAAAGTAAAACTGTGCACCTTTTGATCCACGATGGTGATTTCATAAACTATAACATAACTCTTAATAATAAATTAAACTTCATTAGACTATACAGCCTGAGTATGATTGTTATTTTTCGATTCCCCGCTCATCATTTAATCTTATTGGTATAATCAAAGCATCCTTTTATATCACTGTAGCAAAAGTAATTAATTTGATATCATTTTTCTACATTGGTGTCAACCTTAGGTTGAAGAATATAATACTTTATAGTATTACAGGATTTCATGGTATATTAAGTTTATTTTTACTCAGTAGCTAAATTTATTACAGAGGCAATTCAAAGTGCTTTCTGAAAATGCAGCAATATTAAAATAGCAAAGAAGCATTGCATGAGTAAACTAATATTCTGGTTTAATTAATCACCCAGCATTGATTACAAAACTGCAGCTAATGAGCCACAAAGGCTGCAATACACAAAAACGCTGTTGTTAATATTTTTTGCACATGTGAGGTTTTCAGGGAGTTTGTTCCAAAGTGAAGGAGCAAAGATGCAAAATTTCTACCTTGTTTTCTTTTTTTTTTTCTGAAATCATCTTGGCTGTTAATCCTTGGAAAATGTTGCAGTGGAAATATATATATAAGGATGGTATGCACCTCTGCACACTGCACTTTTGCTTAAAAACATAAGCCCATTGGATCATTGGTACTGTAACTGCTGCTCAACCTTTATATGAGATTGTTAGACTGGACATAAAGTGGTGCTTGTTAAAAAAGAGAAATCGCTTCTGTGTCTCCAATGGGACAAACACAATATTTATGTTCTGTGTTAGTATTGTGCTGATAAGTGAAACCTGTTAACACAGAATAGCACCACCTTATTGTGGTGCTGTCAGCTCCCAGGAGAAAGACAGTGACTTAACTCAGTATGATTGATGTGATCTCACCCTTGGTTTGGAAAGGTTATCCCTGGGATAACATGTTTAACATGCTATTCTCTTGCTCAATAGGAGGCAAGCCAGGGCTACAGGGCCTGGGCTCTAATATACCCAAGTAATGTAAAGGTCAACTGTCAGCTTATCCTGTGAATTCCCTTTCAGTGCTATTGCTACTTAATGCCAGAGAATAAAAAGAAAATAACAAAGGCAGTTAATAATTCAGCATATTTTATTGAGCATTGGTTTTTTAATTAGGAACAGTTGTCATAAAAATAATAACGTTTTGCCCCTGGACTTTTCTGTTGGAACCGTTGGTAGTTGTGTAAGGAAAAATGTCTAACATTGAAACAAAATCTGCATATGAACTTTAAAATATGGTTTAATATACCAGGCATCACAGGAGTTTAATCTACATGCAGCAAATGGAGCACCACACTTTCAGCACTTTTCTAAAGTCTTCTTTTCTCTAGGTGTTATTTTCTTTCACTATGACAGAAAATACCTGCTGTTTTTCTCTACCTTTTCATGCATTTGCTACATCAGGATTTACCTCGGTAGGAAATTCAGCAGGAGGTAAGTAGCTGATTCCCTTTAAAGTGTCAGGATCTCTATACTCATCATCAGGCATAAAACAAAATCTTACAAGTTTATTTCCAAATGGCTCTTCATTAAATATTGTTTGGAAATATTTACAGTTTTAATCATTTATCTAGTAACCACTCAGGTGGGGTTTTTTTCTGTTGAGTTTGTTTTGAGTTTGTTTCATTTAGTTTGATTATGTAGCTATATTTTTTAATTACACATGCTTTTGATATTTCTTAGCTAGCTGTATTTTTTTACAATGTGCTTTAATACACTGAGCATAGTTAATGAGTGAAGAAAAATGTTTCTATTGTGATCAAGATTCCAAAGATTATCTATAATGGGCTACGCTTCTTTTATTGAATAAAATGTTTTCCTTAAGAATCTAAAAAGGCAACATATTTTCTGTAAAAGGTTTTAAATTCAGTCTTAGGCTTTAGCTACAGTAAGTATTTCTTGAGGTTCAATGCTCTTGCAACTGTCCAAAGATAATTTACTGCAATCAATATCTAAAGATAACTAAAGATAACTAAAATTCCATCATAAAGGGTAGTGACATTGTTAGTTTATCTTTCTGTCCTTCTGTTATTTAACTGAAGTTTCTTCTATGACAATCTGGATTAAAGCATCGGCTCCTCTAACAACACCAGAATTGACACCATTCCCGACATGTACAGGATTCAACTGTCTTATGTAATTCCTTCTTTTGGAAATTAAACAAAAATGGTTGATAAGTTACATCAAACACAATGAGAAAAAGTTCCATCAGTAAAAGAATCCGAAAAGATAGTCTAAAAAAAAATAGTTGTTAATATTGTTTAGCAGTGTCTCTAGACTCAGCTAAACAAGGTTGTAATACTTCAGTGCTGCAAACTAAAAGGCTTTGCCCCCCCAATTTTTCTATTTTGTTAAATAACACATTCCAAACCTGCAGTAAAGACTATGCTCAGCAGTGGCTTCAATTTGAAGGCAGGGTATACATTTGGAAGCATGTCCATTAACTCTGAAGGGAAATTGGATTCTAAATTCTATTTGGAGATAGAATAAATAATATAAAATTGGAGTGATTTCACTACACTTTTGAAATTGTTTTAGTCTGGCAGGAGCTGAATGAATAGCTTAGAGACACAAGAGAGACTATTTATATAGGCCAGTAAACAAGCTATAGTATTGTTAACTGGATGTTACAGCACTGCAATCAAAAAAAAAAAAATAGTTAAAGTTGTATTTGTCAATAAAACTGCATATTTTATCAACAGAACATAGTTGAAAAAAAACACTCACAGGTTTGTTACTGCCATGGAAACTGAAGATGTGCTTATTTGCAGCTCTGAATGATGCAAATGTCGCTTGTTTGTTTGTTGCCATTGGACCAAACAGGAAAGGCTATTTACTACAGGAATTAATTCAAATTTCAAAACTTATTATTTTAATTTTTTGTAGGGAAGCATCACTTTGAACCGGCAGAGTCTATCCTGCTTTTCTTGCTTCAACTTCTTTCCCTTAGGTTCCTGCAGCTCTATGCGTTCATGAAATACAATGTCATCTTATGGAATGCATGAATGAATTTGCTTTTATAGGTAGAACCCATTTTAATAAAATTGCTGGGCACCTATTGGTGTTATGTCATACATAGGCTTTGGCCTTGCTAAGTTAAGATTGCTTCATACTATGTAACCAGTGAAGGAGCTACCATCGCCATGTACTGTAACAGTTACTGTTTAAAATTAGTGTTTCAGCTCAAATGTGTTTAAAACTTGCAAATCATTAGTTGTTTAAATTACTAACACTGAAGGATATCTGGTATTCCAACATTTTTACCAGCATTTTATTATAAAAGTAATGTATTTAGGTACCCCAGGTCTTGCAAAAATGCATAGATAAACTGATGCACTCTCTTGTGGACATCAACAACTGTGCCATATCTGTACTTTTTTCGTTGGCTATTGCATTACTTGGGCACAGCATTTTTCAACTCTTCAAGCAGATGTGCCCACATTTATCCATTATGCAGCCAAATTTATCTATTCAGAAAGGAATGATGTGGTAAAACTTGTCTCCAAAGGCACGTAGTGTCTGTATGCATTTTTTAAAAGTGCCACATGAGCTCCAGAGAAGACAGAAGGAGGCAAAAAAATGTGGGAGAAATAGCCTGTAAACATCAGCACCCAAAGCACCCAGGTTTAGTTTTGCAGGAAGGGATGGAACATGCACTGAAGCATCTGCTGTCTCGTTTAATGTTGTACACGGGCGGTACTGATATGTCACAACCAATCTCAGTTTTCATCCATTTCTCCAACAGCACAAAAGGTGGGTTAGGTTTAAGTCTTTGCAATCTTTTTTTGAAACCTGCACGCACTCTTACACACTTCTGTTAATGTGAAAGCATAGCTAATAAACAATGAAACCTTCCATCTTATTTCACATTTTGCAAATGGGTCTATGAAGTGACAAATGGAAAAGGCAAAACATATTGGAATATGTTCCCTGATTTTAAACCTACATTCCAAAACGAGTTTTTTTTTTCCAAAAGTTAAACATCTATAAATATTTTGTGGACAACTTAAAGTGAAAGAAGCATTACATAACCTATTTTGGGCCAGAAACAATGCCTGCACATAATGCTATTGGGTATGGTCCTTGAGAATTTCTATAGCAGGTGTTTTTATGGTTGTGCAGTTAGAGTGTGCATTGTGTGTTAGTGTTAGGGGTATAGTAACAATTAATGAAAGCACTCAAGGTTGCTTCATTTAAGTGCACCCAGATGTTCAATGTGACTTTAAAGGTAAGTGGTCGCTTAGTGATTATTAAAGCTAAATTACAGCAGTCATCTAATTATTCAGATTCCATATTTTGTCTATTCTCACCTGAGAACTGGGTAACTAGGGTATGCAAAAAAAAAAAAAAGACAGAAAATGAGTCTGATTCATAAATCCTGTGAAAAATTGAGGGCATTGTATCTGTGTACAGATAACATTCAGCTAATATGCAAAATGCAATAGGAATAAATTATTTTACTTTTTCATATTTTATTTAATTTAAATGTTTCAGAATTTATACTTTATAGACTTCATAGATTTTATAATGCATGACAAAAGGGAGGTATTTCCTCCTTAACTGAAAATATTTTATGATCTTCAGAGAAACTCTACTCAGAGCTTTCTTAGAATTTATGTACAATTAGAATACCTCATAGTAAGACGACTTTTTATATTTGGCTGTAGGGCTTTTCACACTCCATGAGTTTCTAAATCGAACTGTGTGTCTTGATTGTTTTTTTTAGCAGATACATACTAAATGACATGAAAATCCAAATTTAACTCATTAACATGCATCATCATATTCGTACATAGGGACTCATGGAGCCTATTGATCCAACAAATATAGGTTTTAACCTAATAGTTGAAGTGATTTTCAACCTGTAATTCATGTAATTCACCTTTACTGCAGCAAAGTTGAATTACATAAATCATTAAATTTTTTTTTTTAATATATAGTTGGTTAATATGGGGATACAAGTGAGCTAGCGTGTAAATGATGTATGGACAAAGTTGGGAATAAAAAACAGGTTACTATAACAGGATTTTCTATTACATCAACCACTAACAGATCCTACTTTTTAGAGAACTGAGTGACATGCAGTACTGTTTACCTTTACTCAAGTGTGACCAAAGTTGAGCAGATGGACTGAACCATTTTATATTCATATTTAGAGAATGGGGGTGGCACTGAGAAATGTTTCCCTAAAACATTAACTTTGTGTTATCGTTTTATTGTAAATAGAAGTGTGTTTGTGAGTTTATTACTGAATGTCATATATTTTTTTCAGTACTGTAATTGTGTTAAAAGCCTCTTTGGTTTTCTCTCAATCATAAGCCCCTAAAATTTTTTTACCTCTTTTACCCTTTTCCAACATGCCTGCTGAATGCATAAATAATATTCAATAATAGGCCAGAACTACTTTAGTAATTCAACAAGTCATACTTTAGTTACAAAGTAGTTCTAGTTTTCAATTTTTTCCTTTGTATTTTCAGGCTAATACTTCCACATGAAGAAAGTAAATAAAGAACTTGTAGGACAAGTATTCTGCTTTTCTGTTTTACCAGTGAAATATTCTCATTATCACAAATTTAAATATAGAATGCTTTTTCAATAAAACATTGAATACTCTGGCTGCCCTAAGGTCCTTATTCCTTGTGTGAAATGTGATATGTGTCATGATCAGGTGATCTGGATTTTTGGTTGTGTTTACGTTTTTACTTTAGATTCTCATTTCCCTTTAGTTTCATGTAAGCTCTTAAAGTATCTAATAACTTCTGTCCACACCTGCGCCCAGTCAGTTGATTACTCCATTAATTGTTCTGTTTGGCATATATACTCCTCTGATGTTAATCTTTTCTGGATTCTCTTCACTCCCCCCCCCGGAGCCCAGTGTTCCCCATGTTCTGATTCCTGTTCTCCCTGGTTTTCTATTTCTGGATTTATGCTTTTGCTGCCACCACTCTCATCATTAAATCTCCAACAAAGCACCTCTGCCTCCGTCTCTGCATTGGAGTCCTCTTCAAACCTCCTATAATAATGGCAATATGCTGAGGAATTGTAGGGTTTTGATTTTGCTTTATCCTACATTGTTTACTGTGTGCAGGTTTGTTAAGACTTTAATAATATTGACCTTGGCTGCTTGTCACTTCACTTTTCACTTTCAACATTCCTTCTATTTCCCACAATTGTTTTGATGTCCCATCAATCATAGCTGATTGACATGCTGCTGCTCTTCCTCATATTTCATATGCTATTCATCACATTTTAGGTATGCCATCAAGTCTATACATACCAATCAATCTTATTTATCAGTCATCTAACTGCAGTGTGTTTTCATGAGACTTACTCACACACTTCAACTAAAGAAAACATAAGACGAATGGGATAAACAAATCCATCTCTTTCCAACAATAACAAGGTGGAAGGGTTTCTTGCCCAAACGATGTTATCAGGGTGTTAAATGCCGCTGTTGATTTCTGATCAAATTTAGATTTTAAACCAGAGAAGACCAGAGAAGAGAAAGGAAAGAAATATATATATATACATACTATGTATATACAAACTATATATATATATATATATATATATATATATATATACATACAACTTGTTTCTGCAACAAAATGCTTACATTCAGAAAAAAAGGCACCTCACTGAGGTCTTATAACTAAGCTTGTTATAGTGGCCTACTTACAGAGTATTGAGGCAACTATTTTATTTTTTTCCGTGTTTCCAAGGTTTCCATGGGTTTAAAAAAATATATAATTATATTGTGCTCTGGACCAACCTGTCTCTGGATCACACTGGTGTTCACAAGGATCTAGTAGACGTCGTCCACACAGCTCATTGACCCAAGGTCCACTGGCATTCTGCTGGTAGTATAACAAGATCTGGGCGGGATTGAGCCAATCTGAAGCATCCAACTGGCTCCCCTGGAGCAGAATGAACCTTGATCCTTAGGAGAATGGAGAGAAAACAAGTATTAAATCTAAACTAAAGAAAAATATGATTGGACAGGAAAGAAACATGGTTGGCATGGCAACAACATTATAAAGCAAAATAATGAATTAGAAGAAATTCAACATTCTATCCATTTCATTGACAGTTAGCAGTGGTTAAAAAAAAACTAGCATTAGATTTACATTTAGTGTCAATAACCCAAATATGTTAAAAAGATAAGGAATTATATCACCCGATCCAAGACATTTTTGAGGCAAGTTTTTGAGGCAAGTTTCCAAGGAAAATACATAGACTGTATATTTTGGGCAAATACAAGAAGTTAAGAACAAAGTAAAATTAAAGTAGCTTCTAAATAGATAAGGACAACAATGGTGAATATTTCTAATATAATTAGATGAACGCCATCACAATAAAGACCATATTCACCAATATTTGTTACTTTTACAATTTAATGTAACTGTTACTACTTTTTAGTTACTACTAAAAAATATAAGTCTAAGGAGGGAAAGAGAGATCCCTTTTAAGGGTAAGCTTAAAATAGAACATATTGTCCTCTGTATCTGACCACACAGAACCCTTGTAATCATAAAGATAAACTGACACATGGTGTAAAATTAAATGTAATTTAAAAATAAAATTAAGTAAAGGAAAAATGCTTTGTTTTCTAACATACTATCTGAAGGATTTGGAAATGTAGGCATTCTTTTGAAAATATTCAAGTTAAATAAAAACCTACATAAACCATTTAACAGAATACAATCTTTTATCTTATTATTTTAGAGTAAATATTGTATTATAATCATAGACATTTTGGGTCTGTTTTATCATTTTAAGTGTCTTTTGAATATGTACTTATATCGCATCCTTAGTGTGCATTCCTGGTGCTCACACAATGACAATTAAGACATTCATTCATTCACTATCCACAAATAAAATGTTAATTCATTAGTCACTTCAATGGACTATTGTGATTATTATCATAGTGCTTTAAATAACTCTCGAGACAGCCTAAGGCTTATTCATTTAGTTATGCCTCTATTGCCTGAGGCTTAGGGGCTCCCAGTCTGATCTGAGCATCTCTTTCCTCCTCTTCAATATTTTTTTGTGCTGTGAAGATGAGCTGTAAAATTATGAAAATATATTTTTGGCAAAAACTGCAATGTTGTTTTTAAAATTTGTAAATAGCATGTTTTATGCTTTACTTTAATATTATTAAATCCCAACACATTACTAAAATATGCTTAATGTCCAAAGCCAGTCTTATATAAAAAAACAACAACAAATAAACAAAAACAAACTAATTACAATTAACTAACTAGTTACAATGAATAATGGATAAAATCCAAATCAGTTTTCCCCATGGACTCCACTATTCAAGTTTGAGTGCTAAGAATGTTTTATATTTTGTGCATTTTGTGCATTTTTTGTGCATTTTGTCATACAGCATCAGCAAAAACTACTATTAGAACACTGAAACTCAACAGCCAATCAACAATAAGCTTCAGTTGGCTCATAAAGACTGATCAAATTACAAAATATTTTTTCTATATTTTTGTTTTAGATTTCAGACGCAAAATATGAGCAAAATGCTCAGACGTTTATAGCAGAAAGCCTAATTTGATTTTTGTTGTCACTGATTAATGTTGTTTTTAATAATTTTTCCCATGAAAGACAAAGAATTGTAGAGAGCATTTTTCTTCTGTCTAAAATAAAAATGTTTTTAATTTTACAGACAATGCATGGTTTGTTGAAAGCATATGCTGCTTACTCTTAGGTCATCTTGCAAGCTATTAATCTATTTTCCTACCACGGTTCAGTTTCAAAAAGCAGGTTTAGCACACTCAGAGACAAATCATCAACTCTGAATTGATCTGGGCTAAAGTTGGAAACTCTGCGATCTCAGTTTCATAAAAGTTGCTGTAAGTTATTTTAAACAACTCTGAGCAGGTTCACTCAGAGTTGAACACGAGTACAACAAGTATAAAAAGCCATTATCAATGGAGTTTCTAATTTTACCAGTCAGTGTGATGACAGGCAACAGGAAGTGATATTTCACCCCAATGGAACTAGAGATTTTAATGAAGAAATTAGAGAGAAAAAAAAGGTGAATGTGTTTAAAAGATAGAGCAACACATTTTAATTAAGTCCTTTATGGCAGGCCATTTTAACATTTATTAAAAGCATTCTCCTCTCTGCTGTTCCATTTGTAGATCACTAAAATAGGACTCTTCCTGGTCAAAATCCCATTTTCGACAGACTGGCCAACTATCCATGGTGTACCCCGCCTCTCGCACCCATAGACTGCCGGAGATAGACACTGATCCCACTGCGACCCTGACAGGACTAAGTGGGAAAAATGAATGGAAATGGATGGATATCTAGAAATATTTACACATTTAAAATGGTCGTTCTGACATTTAATAGCTTGACTGAATATCCATTTATGATATCTGAAACACATTTCTTAATAGTCAAAATAATACAAAAAGTGACCAGTAACAATAGGAATATGGAGATCGTAAATTTGTTTCTAGACATCCAGAATGATTATTCTACGTGTGAAGAATGTCATTTTGTTTGTAATGGTAATTTTAACAAGGAAAAAAAATGTTTTCCCAGATATCACAAATTCATATTCAGTATAGCAAAATGCCCTGACATAGATTGTGGTAACCACAATAACATTATGGGGAAAACTAGTTAACTGCTTTAACGGTAGTGAGTCAGTGTATTCTATTTTGGTGAAATCACCTGACAGCAGGTGGAGATGAAGTCTTAAAACGTTGTTCTAACAGGTGGGATCTTTGAATCATATCATGGGTTTCCTCCTCATGTTGATTCTGTCTTCCATTACACAGTAAATATTAAGTGTCTGTTTGCAGCTGCTTTAGATGATATAATCCCAATAAATTGTTGTTTTATCGGTTAGCAGTTGCATAGAATAGGTTTAGATTGTGACTTGTTCATATATTGTACAAAAAAGGAAAGAAAAAAAGATCTGCATGTTGCAGACCAATAACAAAAAACTAATATCCTGTGAACTGAGTTGTTTTTAACCCACAAAGTAAAATGTGTGTGACCTAAATAAAAAGTATAATGTAGGTAGATGGTAAATAAAACTTACACTTCTAGACATGGCCAACATGGCTGTTATCAATGACAAACTGCATATTATCAGCCTTAAGATACCTAATAGAAGGTAGAGGAGGCACAGCCTGAAGTTATTTTATGGGACTGGTGCTGTTTGACTCTGCAGTTTTATTTTTCTATAATGCTGTTTTCACATACAGTACACCAACGTTCTCTCTGATATCAAGCTCTGTTAAATAAATCTGTGTAATGCTGCAAATGTGAGGACAGATAAGGTCGTTGACATATTAGATGGATTGCAAGGTGAAACGCTAGTGCTCACAAACATTATTTTCTAAATATGAAAATTATGCATTAATTTTCTGTGAAATAATGCTGGTTATTCTTTCATAAGATCTTCATCCTACATGCAATGTTTGTTTTTTAAAACCTTTTTAAAACCTGTCTAACGAACTCAGTGAAAGTTTTTTTTATTGCATGCACAAAACTATGACAAAGTCTCCAGACTAAATCAGGAAATAAAACAACGTGATTACCTCTAAAGAGCAAAGACAGAGGACACCTGAGTTTACTGAAACAAAACCTGCTCCCGACCAGGTTAGCTCTGGTGAGATTGTTTCTATGGTAACAGAAACAGAGTTTGAGTAAACTCTCATTTTGAAATGGAGAATTCAGAGAAACCCTTTCAGGTTTAGAAAACATATTCAGTAAACCTGCTTTTCGAAACTTATCCCTGCTATCTGAATTAGATAGGCAGCATCCAAACTAGGAAAAAACTGCTATCTCCACATGCACTCTGCACTTATAAAATATATAAAAATGGGTTTAAAAACCTACTTGTTTTCTGATACCATTAAGACATTTTTTTACTCTTTATATGATTTATTTAACTTTGAGCTCAACATTTTTCCTTTTTTGGGAGGTATATTTGTTATATAGTCTTAATGTTGCATTTGTGTAGTGTACGTGGCAAAAGACTTTAGTTCCAGGTAAATACGGCAGTACTTTCTTTGATCTTGAACTTAAAATCTAAAGTTTGTAGTTCATATTATGGATTGGATTGGAAAATGCTGGTACCAGCAAACATTCAAGTAAAGCAGTTAAGTTTAAAGGAATAGTACACCCAAAACATGATTAGCCTTCATTTTCTACTCACCCCCCATGCTGAACAACACTCTGGAGTACTTTTTTGATATCTCAAATGCATCTGGAGATCTGGGAGACTTCTTGCTGTCTGCTGACATTCAAATAATGGAGGTCTACGGTGCCCGAGACAGAAAGGTCCATAAAAGTCCACAAAAAACGTGTCAATATTCCTCCATACTGCTCGTCCAATGTATTCCAAGTGTCCTGAGTGGGTAGCATCCAGAATTTACTCGAAACGAAGTCATTTAGAATGTTTTTAGAGCATAAACAGTAGTGTATAGGATTTCCTGAAAGCGCGCACCTTCAAGTTCACGACGCTACGGAAACCGCGGCAGACCAAACCGGATGAAAGTGCGCATTCAGCTCGGCAAAGAACTCATGCTCTTCCTCAACACTGAAGTCCTCAGACATTTTTCTTTCGTTGTTTCTTTCTTTGCACAGGCAAACAGCACATTTCTTCTTCTACGCTTGCATTATCGGCAGAGCAGACGCTGAATGCGCACTTTCATCTGGTTTGGTCTGCCGGCTTCCGTAGCGTCGTGAACGTGCAGGCTCGCGCTTTCAGGAAATCCTATACACTACAGTTTATGCTCTAAAAACATTCTAAATGACTTCATTTCGAGTAAATTCTGGATGCTACCCACTCAGGACACTTGGAATACATTGGACGAGCAGTATGGAGGAATATTGACACGTTTTTTGTGGACTTTTATGGACCTTTCTGTCTCGGGCACCGTAGACCTCCATTATTTGAATGTCAGCAGACAGCAAGAAGCCTCCCAGATCTCCAGATGCATTTGAGATATCAAAAAAGTACTCCAGAGTGTTGTTCAGCATGGGGGTGAGTAGAAAATGAAGGCTAATCATGTTTTGGGTGTACTATTCCTTTAATGTGTATAAATTAAGATTATAACATGAAATAATCACTAATATGTTCCTTCTTCAGCTGTTAAAAGTTCTATTTTAGGAGGAGGCTATTTTTTGTGAGTGTTTTGTGGTGTTTTTTCTTTTTTGATATAGCTTTGAATTTCACATTTTTCTGTCTATTCTATTATGAGTTTTTCAACACCAGACGTGCATTTTCTTCTTCTGGGGTTGACAACACCTTTCACATCATCCATTGTGCCCTCTCAAGCCAAAAGATTACAGTACACAGTGAGCTTTTCTATATATGACATTTATTTTCATTTTCAACCACTAAAAGGTTTATCCAGTAGTCTTTTAACATATCTCTTGATGGGGAGTAGCTATTGTTGTCTTTTGTAAACTAAAATCTGTCTGGTATGATTATTTTTTCTGAAAATAAATCTGAAGAGAGAAGTGTGACTCTTCATTTGTGTGATTTTTCTTCAGTGAATCTGAAGGCAGGCACTTGCGCAGCTGTTGGCATTATTAGCTTCTTTCCCCAGTTGTTGAATACAAATTCTCATCTGATTCACCACATTATGAAATCAGGTTTGATGAGATTGAGGGGACATTTATAGAAACATACTAAATTGATCATGGTTTTGTTATTCAACAGGCAAATTGTCATCTTTCATCTCTTTTCAAAGTTTTTTCCTAGGTGCCTCCTAGAATTTTAATAACTCCCTGGCAGACCAGTGTATACCACAGGAAAGCTGAAGCACACTGAATCAAATCAGACCTCCAGATGATAGATGTGTAGGCCTAGTGAGTCTAATATATTTTTATCGACATCTCACTCCTTTTAGAGCTAAAAAAAATATCAATAAACTTGCAGGAACCAGTTCATTGAGACTGTTTCTCATACTGAAATTTCTTATCTTTATTTTAATTTTGAATTCTATTAACAATGTCCCTCATGGTGAATTGCTTTGTAAAAACCTGCTCTCTTACCCAACCCTCCTGCTGCTGGGCGGGGTGGGTGGCTTCTTCATCTCAAGCTCTGGTCCTTGATGGTTCTTTGCAGTATCTTTTCTTCTCCTAAAACTAAAGGCACTACAGTTGCTTTCACCTTCAAGGCTCTTTCTAGTTCTTACCTGAGCCCTTAGTATTTCTCCAATCTCTTATGATCTTTTTTCCTGATGTTCCCATCATTTGGGGTGGCCACATCGATCCCCTCAGCCATTTTCTGCTCCTTATCAATTATCACAATGTCTGGTTGGTTGGCCACAACCATTTTGTCTGTTTGTATCAAGAAGTCCCACAGGATCTTAGCACTGCCAGCTTGACAGACGGCAGCTCCCATTTTATTCTGGGCGTCTTTTGTTTGTATCCTGTCCAGATGTTTATGTACACTATACAGGCCACTTGGTTATGACATTCCATGTATTTCTTTTACCCTCATCTTACACCCTAATGTGAGATGGTGGATCATTTCTGGGGCTCTTTTCGCATGGTCTGCACCTGGGATCATAACTGCTTTTGTAGATCGGGGCCTCTATTGCTCTGGTGCCCAAGGCCTGCTCCTCTGCTGCCATGATCAGTGCTCCTGTACTATCCTTCAGCCCAGCCTATCTGTCTATGGTACATCCCATGCAAGGGTTTTTCATCCTATGACAGTTCTTCCAGTTCCTTCATTTCCATCGTCCACTGTCTAAGACATTCACTAAGACCTTCATTCCTTAGGGCCATCTTTCTGATGTAATCTTGTAGCTTGGATATGTCATCTTCAATGGTGGCTCTGATGCTCACTAGGCCTCTGCCTCCTTCTTTGCACTTTGAGTCTAGTCTGTGGATAATGTATTTGGGGTGGAATCCACCATGCACACTGAGTGGCTTCCTTTTTTTAACATCGGTGGCCTGAATTTCCCCCTTAGTCCAACTTATTAACCCAGCAGGGTATCTTAATATGGGCAAGACATAGCTCTTGATTGCCTAAACATTGTTCTTACTAGTGAGGTGACTTCACACTAACTTGCCTTTCCCCTTAACACACCGAACCCGATTTTGCATCCGATCCTAAGAAAATTATGTCCTAAGTTATTTTTAACTACTTTTCATAATAAGTCTTACTCAAATGTGAGAAATCGTTTTAATTTGTGTTTGACACAGAGATAGAAGTGAAAAAGAAATGCACAGATCTGTTCACCCTGCCTAGTCGGAGCCTCTCTATACACAGTTAGTGTGACATGGAAAAAATATCAGATTGGAGATTTAAAAGTGGCATGCACCCAATCTGACCTGGCCTTTACTCATTGTAGATACAGTGGCAGTTGCTGCTTTCCTTTACCACTTCATGGTTGCCATTTGCCTGTGGTAAACCAAGCTAGTTAGATGCCAAGATTCTATTCTACCTCTTATTCTATCATCATAAGTCATTTGGTCAACATTGGATCCTTCATAGATCCTCACTGAACTTCTGGTGAATTTTGCAGCATTGAAAGTAAAGGGCCCAATTCATTTTGCACGACCCATTCTTCAGTTTTAATTTGTTTAAAAAAAGGTTAGAATATCCAATAAATTTTGTTCCACTTCATGATTTTGTCCAACTTGTTGTTGATTCTTCACAAAACATTACAAATTTATATCCTTATTTTTGCAGCCTGAAATGTGGCAAAAGGTTGAAAAGTTCAAAGGGGCCAAATACTTTTTCAAGTAATTGTACCACTGGCAAAGAAATTCAAGGAGGCTAGTTGCATTACATTATGTAAATTAGCCCCAACAGTGTGTAAAATTACGCTCAGGAGCTGTTCTGTGAAAGCCTCGGAGGCTTTTTAGCTAGCATTGGTGGACAACCAGGATCATGGAGAACAAAGAAGACAAGAGAGGTCAGGAACAAAGCTTGAGAAGTTTACAACAGATCCTAGGTTCATTCATGTTTATAAAGTTTCCTCAAGCACTTTTAAGCCCATTGCATAAAACTTTGAGAGGTTATTGAACAACATCAAACTAAGAAACACAAAGCAGTCCATCAGGGAAGAGTTCGATGGGCCTATGATATCTCTTCAGTAACTGCAGAGACTCACAGCGTAAATAGGGGAATCTAGTGTCAGAAAAACTATAAAGCAGGCAAGTCACAGATTCCCCTTAACAAACCAAGACTAGCATAAAAAATGCTAGTTAGAGCATTGTGCATCAGGGACACTTCTCTTTAGGAACAACAGGAAATTGGTGAGATCCGATGGGCTAAACAGCTAAAAGCTAAAAGGGAAATCTGTTAGAGCCAGCAGTGAAATTGATACTATGTGGAAGACACAACTTCCTGCAGGAAAAACAAAAAACTAAATCATACAGCCATTGCTGCAATGGAATCACAACATATTTAACATTTTTTGTTCCAAGACCAGTTTGAGTATAAACATAAATGGAATGGAATCTGTGAAAGGTGTTTTTAATCTTTCTTCATGGATGCTCATCTTTAAATGCATCCGAGTTAAAACTAATCAACAAAAAAGAACTATATTTATCAATTAATTTATGGATAGAAATGTAGGCATACATTTCTATCTATAAATGTAGAGCACTAGCAAAGGGAAAAAAATAAATAAAAATATATTTGTTTTCATAATGTATGAGAAGCAAAAAAATGCTTTAGGTTCACCTTTGGAGTGTACTGTATTTAAAAGGACTGAAAGGGATAAGGGTTTTTCTGTGGATGTCCCTTTTCCCTAAATGTGCTTTTATGCTTTAAGGGTACATCTGTCATGAGGTGAAGCCCAGGAGACCAAAAGAAAAAGTAGTCTGGCATTTACCTTTGTCTTTAAGAGCAAAGCAAATCAGCAGCTCACAACAAAGCGCTGGCACTTAGTTTGAGAGATCTAGAGAACTAAACTCCCCGGAGTGCGGCAGAAAAATACCAGCTCAGCCCCCTAGGGCTTTGAGCTTCCTAAGGAGTTTGTTAAGAAAGGCTGTATCGACAGTCTCATACTGTGTAAAGCTTTACCGTCAGCTATGAGGTGCTCCGGCACATGTAAGATTACTCGAACTGAGAGGCTGCAGGCGAGGTGAGAGGAGTAAACTAGGCCAATCACACAGCTGATGACACTGATCAGGGTCAGGGTGGTCTTGTTGATGGGACTTCGAGGAGATCCTGCTGTTGGGAACAGACAGACAGAGAAAGAGGGAAGGAGAAGGAAAACACATATGATTTTAGATATATAAAAAGGACGTCCCTGTGCTTTCTTGCAACCTTTAGGTACCACAAACATACATGCAAACACTCACAAACATGAACACTCACTGCTCACAAGAGGAGTTACTCCACCCATTCTACAAAAACGGGCTTAGCTCCCATGAAAAGGACCTTTGGATAAATAAAAAAAAAAGCATCAAGCCTTTGGGAGCTTAGATTGGGCATGGCTCAGTAGTGTAGACCTAGGTTTACCTTTGAAGGGTTTCTAACACCCATGCTGAGATGTGTGAGGAGAGTAAAGACAGACCAAAAAAAGAGAGAAAAAAACTGCTTAGAGGCTGCTTTGCAACCAACCTTCTTTCCTGCGCTCTCCTTTTGCTGTCAGAGTAAAAATGTTTCCCTTATCTCTTTTACTCCAGAGTGCAACACAGAAAATTTTTAAATATGACCTCATACCCACAGGATGGATGCATACCTCTATCTATGCACACCCCCACACACACACAAACCACATGTTGACCTTGAATGCTGGTAACCACACTTATATTTTTGAAACAGTAACTTTTACACTGATGCCAATTCTAGAATGAATTGTCACTTTTAAATTACTTTGGCAGAGCTTGTTCTTTCAGATGCTGCTTAAGGCTAGGCTTTAAACAAAGGCCAAATAGAGGGCTGACCTTTTGTATATTGCTAAAAAACTGTTTATGTAATCAAACAACTTATCCAGATATGGGATTCAGGCATCATCTCCCTTTTTTGAGCAATTTTTGTTGAATATCTTCCGTTAGCATTGTGGACAAAACTCATACTTAAATTTTTATTATGGCAAAAAGTCCCTGTATAACTTATACTATTTTGGGAATATGTTTCATAATCTTTATACAGACAGGAAATGACAAGAAATAATTTCGTCATGCCTCAGAAATCATTCTTTCCTCTGGATGTAAACAACACAGATGGGGCATCATCACTACCACCTTGTTCTAATTAAAGATGTTGCCTATACTTCCGGAGGCATTGCTGTGTATGTGACACCTGTGCACAAGACGGGGGGATAATTGGCTTGGAGGCTTTGTAAAGGCTTGTAACGCCTTTTGACAGCAGCTATTATTTTGAGGGCATTGTTTTGTTTTGTTTTTTCCTCCTTCATCTCCCTTCCACAACCTATTACTGTACATCAAAGCTGCAAGGACAAGGCATGCTGACAGATAAAGCGTGCTCCACCACTTCACTTTGACAGCATTTGCACAGGGTCCTCCTTAGAAATAATATTTGTCTGTAATATTATTTCAAAATAGAGTGTTCTTCATATTGCAAGATGCAACACATATTACACCGTACTCAATACGGGGAACCTCTGATCTCATGATCTTGTTTGATTTCCACCAACAAGATTGTATGCAGATGGAGTGAGATCAGTTTTACATGCTAGCAATCACTATAAATTACTATGCATTTATACATTTCCTTTACTTGGCAAATTTATGTGCAAACACCAATTTAGAACCATCCACTGGCTGTATGTACACAGTTTACTTGTCATGCGTTGTGACAGAGGCAATACCATCAGTGGGATAAATTGTCTGTAGGTGTACGAGTTCCTCCTTACCCCCAGAGCCCCACGCGCTGTTGGCGTTACCATTTCTCATACCTCGACTCCGGCGCCGACTGCGGTTCGGGTCTGTGTAAAACGCCAGCTGAGGCTCGCTGTCTGCCTCCGTCCCAGAGTCCCCGTCTGGGTTCAAGAAAGTTGAACCCGCTGTTGGATTCAAACAAAAATACACCTCTAATGAAAAAAAAAAATGCTAGTGGGGGCTTAGTCGGAGTGTTATCCTTTTAGTAACTGAAATGTAAGTGATGGTAGCCGGAATAAAGATGTTTCTGTGAGGATAATGTGCAGCCTTTTGAGTGCCCAAATGAAAGAAACGTGACTTAAAGGGATTACATACTAAGTTTTTAAAACCTTCCAGTACCTGACAAAATATTATTTAGCATATGATGGCATTTTGGGTTATTATCAAATCAAAAGTCAGATAAATGATCAGAAATAAAAAGCAGATGGTTCTCAAACTATCAACATCAATTTTGGTATCAAATACTACAGATTTTCAGCCAAGCAGAAGCCCAATACAGCCAAAATAATTATTCATGGATTTTCGGGTAAATAAAAATTAAAGAAAACCAAATTAGACCTTATCTTTTCTATTTCACCTTACTAAATTATTATATCATTTATAACGAAAAATAAAAGAGGAAATCTTCCAATCACAAAGACGATTTCTTTTTCATTGTTTTTTTTTGTTGCTTACATTAAACTCAACTCACTTAAAAAAAGTAACCGTAAAGTTTATAATTTCAAAGTGATTTGAGGAATCAAGATGTTGAAGTCATCACCTCTGATCTTCTAATTTACAGCATTTGAAATGTTGTGTCCGAACATCTAACCCCTAAATCACAATAAGTTGTATAGCGGGGACTATACTGTATATTGGACTTTATAGTGAACTCGGTTAACTGGCTGTTCGGACAGATGATCACTATTTTTCAGTCTCTTTTGATCCCATGACTCTGCCTCCACACACGGTGCCTATGCCATCTTTGTTATTTGTCACTGCTGTCGCACAGGGTCAGCCTACAGCTCTCCTCGCAAAGCACTATGGGATTCATCTGCTCGACTAGTAACCATGCATGATCACTACTTTTTAAGGTGCACTGTGGAAAATTTCGATTTAGTGGAGGCAAGTGAGGACAATCAACAGTCCTTCCAGCACTAAATTAAAACAGATTTCTAAGGGAAAAAAAACTTTACGTACAACCAGTCCCTGATTGGATGCAGCATTGCTAATTTAATAGATCTGTCTGGTGTTTGAAGGCACCATAAAAGGTACAGTATGGTGGACCAAAGGGATCGATAAAAAAAAAAAAATTACAGGACCACAAAAACCACAACACAACTCCTTAAGCTAAACAGAAGTTGAACTAAAGTGGATGCTGTCCTTAAACAAAATTCTGTTTAACCTTTCAGACAGTTTCTCAGTCAGATTCTCACAGGGTTGTGGTTATAGAGATGAATTGAAATTAAAAATTATTTAAAAAAATCTGAAGTAAGAAAAAAACATTTTTATCACAATGATTTTAAGTTATGTAGGTAATCAAGAATAATCCTTTTACTGTGTCCTGCTAAACATATAGTGACATGAGAAACTAGAGAAATACCAGGGGCTCAGAGAAGAAGTGGAGAAAACCTGGAGCACCAGTCGTGCCCGTGGTGCCCCCAAACTTGAGGAGTGGTTAGAGCGGATCCCTGGAAATATATCAGACATCTCAATCCAGAACAGTGCTGTTACAGGAACAGTAAAGATACTGCGCACAACCCTCAAGCCAGCTGGCCTCTGGTAGAAGACCCAAGCTTGGATGAAAAAGCGTGGGTCCTCTACTCTTGTGAGCAGTATCTTTGCTTTGCTGTTCCTAGAAGTATATATATATATATATATATATATATATATATATATATATATATATATATATATATATATATATATATATATATATATATATATATATATATATATATATATATATATACAGGTGCTGGTCATAAAATTAGAATATCATGAAAAAGTAGATTGATTTCACTAATTCCATTTAAAAAGTGAAACTTGTATATTATATTCATACATTACATACAAACTCATATATTTCAGATGTTTATTTTGTTTAATTTTGATGATTACAAATGACAACAAATGAAAATCTCAAATTCATCATATCAGAAAATTAGAATATTACTGAAGACCAATAAAAACAAAGGATTTATAGAAATGTTGGCCAACTGAAAAGTATGAACATGAAAAGTATGAGCATGTACAGCACTCAGTATTTAGTTGGGCCTCCTTTGGCCTGTATTACTGCAGCAATGCGGCGTGGCATGGAGTCGATCAGTCTGTGGCACTGCTCAGGTGTTATGATAGCCCAGGTTGCTCTAATAGTGGCTTTTAGCTCTTCTGAATTGTTGGGTCTGGTGTATTGCATCTTCTTCTTCACAATACCCCATAGATTTTCTATGGGGTTAAGGTCAGGAGAGTTTGCTGGCCAATTAAGAACAGGGATACCATGGTCCTTCAACCAGGTACTGGTAGCTTTGGCACTGTGTGCAGGTGCCAAGTCCTGTTGGAAAATGAAATCTGCATCTCCAAAAAGTTGGTCAGCTGCAGGAAGCATGAAGTGCTCTAAAACTTCCTGGTATGTGGCTGCGTTGACCCTGGACCTCAGAAAACACAATGGACCAACACCAGCAGATGACATGGCACCCCAAACCATCACTGACTGTGGAAACTTTACACTGGACTTCAAGCAACGTGGATGAAGTGCCTCTCTTCTTTTCCTCCAGACTCTGGGACCTTGATTTCCAAAGGAAATGCAAAATTTACTTTCATCAGAGAACATGACTTTGGACCACTCACCAGCAGTCCAGTCCTGTTTCTCTTTAGCCCAGGCAAGACGCTTCTGACGCTGTCTGTGGTTCAAGAGTGGCTTGACACAAGGAATGCGACAGCAGAAACCCATGTCTTTCATACGTCTGTGTGTGGTGGTTCTTGAAGCACTCACTCCAGCTGCAGTCCACTCTTTGTGAATCTCCCCCACATTTTTGAATGGGTTTTGTTTCACAATCCTCTCCAGGGTGCGGTTATCTCTCTTGCTTGTACACTTTTTTCGACCACATCTTTTCCTTCCCTTCGCCTCTCTATTAATGTGCTTGGACACTGAGCTCTGTGAACAGCCAGCCTCTTTAGCGATGACCTTTTGTGTCTTGCCCTCCTTGTGCAAGGTGTCGATGGTCGTCTTTTGGACAACTGTCAAGTCAGCAGTCTTCCCCATGATTGTGTAGCCTATAGAACTAGACTGAAAGACCATTTAAAGGCTTTTGCAGGTGGTTTGAGTTAATTAGCTGATTAGAGTGTGGCACCAGGGGCCATCAATTTTGAACCTTTTCACAATATTCTAATTTTCTGATATGATGAATTTGAGATTTTCTTTTGTTGTCATTTGTAATCATCAAAATTAAACAAAATAAACATCTGAAATATATGAGTTTGTATGTAATGTATGAATATAATATACAAGTTTCACTTTTTAAATGGAATTACTGAAATCAATCTACTTTTTCATGATATTCTAATTTTATGACCAGCACCTGTATATATATATACACTATATTGCCAAAAGTATTTGCTCACCTGCCTTGACTCACATATGAGCTTAAGTGACATCCCGTTCCTAATCCATAGGGTTCAATATGACGTCGGTCCACCCTTTGCAGCTAGAACAGCTTCAACTCTTCTGGGAAGGCTGTCCACAAGGTTTAGGAGTGTGTTTATGGGAATTTTTGACCATTCTTCCAGAAGCGCATTTGTGAGGTCGCACACTGATGTTGGACGAGAAGGCCTGGCTCTCAGTCTCCGCTCTAATTCATCCCAAAGGTGTTCTATCGGGTTGAGGTCAGGACTCTGTGCAGGCCAGTCAAGTTCATCCACACCAGACTCTGTCATCCATGTCTTTATGGACCTTGCTTTGTGCACTGGTGCACAGTCATGTTGGAAGAGGAAGGGGCCAGCTCCAAACTGTTCCCACAAAGTTGGGAGCATGGAATTGTCCAAAATGTCTTGGTATGCTGAAGCATTCAGAGTTCCTTTCACTGGAACTAAGGGGCCAAGCCCAGCTCCTGAAAAACAACCCCACACCATAATCCCCCCTCCACCAAACTTTACACTTGGCACAATGCAGTCAGACAAGTACCGTTCTCCTGGCAACCGCCAAACCCAGACCCGTCCATCAGATTGCCAGATGGAGAAGCGCGATTCGTCACTCCAGAGAACGCGTCTCCACTGCTCTAGAGTCCAGTGGCGGCGTGCTTTACACCACCGCATCCGACGCTTTGCATTGCACTTGGTGATGTATGGCTTGGATGCAGCTGCTCGACCATGGAAACCCATTCCATGAAGCTCTCTGCGCACTGTTCTATAGCTAATCTGAAGGCCACATGAAGTTTGGAGGTCTGTAGTGATTGACTCTGCAGAAAGTTGGCGACCTCTTCGCACTATGCGCGTCAGCATCCGCTGACCCCGCTCCGTCAGTTTACGTGGCCTACCACTTCGTGGCTGAGTTGCTGTCGTTCCCAAACACTTCCATTTTCTTATAATACAGCTGACAGTTGACTGTGGAATATTTAGGAGCGAGGAAATTTCACGACTGGATTTGTTGCACAGGTGGCATCCTATCACAGTTCCACGCTGGAATTCACTGAGCTCCTGAGAGCGACCCATTCTTTCACAAATGTTTGTAAAAACAGTCTGCATGCCTAGGTGCTTGAATTTATACACCTGTGGCCATGGAAGTGATTGGAACACCTGATTCCAATAATTTGGATGGGTGAGCAAATACTTTTGGCAATATAGTGTATATATATATATATATATATATATATATATATATATATATATATATATATATATATATATATAGATAGATAGATAGATAGATAGATAGATAGATAGATAGGTTAAGTTAAGTTTCTTAAAAGCTAATTATTTATGGGAGTAAAGTGTTTGATGCTAAAGGAATATGTAAAACAGCAGAAAAATAAGTCAAATGTACCAGATCTTTTATCCTGCTTACTATTTATAGGATGATGTTAACAACATATTACCCTGAGTGTGTTTTATCTGAGGCATTAGCTTTATTTCGAGGTTACATATTCAT